AGTGGCCTCCCTTTTGTCTTTGAAATCCCACTCCACAGCTCAGTATCTTCAGTTAATTTACTTACCCCTGCTCATTTCTATTCTGCTGCTCTCTACCCCTTCCTTCACCCTTGGTCAAAAAAAGACAAATAACAAAGACTCCCACTGACTTCAATGGGCTTTGGATCAGGCTGAATATAATCTTCTTAATTTGAAAAAAAATGTCTAACATTCGGTTCCTGTTCCTTTTGAAATCAGTGACAAACTCCTATTGACTTCAATGGCAGTCAGATTGGGTTTCAAGGCCTGTGTTCAATTTTACCTTACTTGCAGTTGTCTTCTCTGTCTGTTCCCTCTCACCTTGGTCTGTTGTGATCATATATTATTAGATGTTTAATTTACACTGTAGCTCTTCAGGGTAGAGATCTGGTTTTCCTACAGAGTACAATGTATCTGTAAAATACCAGTAACACCTGCAGTGCTATGGATCCAATCCGTAATAATAATAATAAATAAAATAATAAAATAATAATAATGTTGGACTATTGTTTGGTGTCAGCATTTTCAAAATATTTGCAGCATTTGGGCTCATCTGACATCCGTCTTGACTTTCTAAAACAAACTGCCACCTTGTGGTACAATTTGAGACAAGTCTGTAGAAAATTAGATCTATAGAGATCTAGGATTTTTTGCCCAGTGGTCTTCAGACTTTCACCTTTTCTTTCCAAAATAAAAAATCCAAGATATACTACTCCACATTCGGAGATAAAGTTTTATTATGATTATTTGTCAATCCAAAACATAGGGCCATTTCTAACAAAACTTTACTCATACAAGTAAAATCACATTGAATCCTGTTGGATTACTCATACAACTAAAAATTTGTAGGACCAGGCCCACACACATAACATAACCTTATAATTAAGGCTACGATTATGTCATGGAAGTCACAGAATCAGTGACTTCCAGAGACCTCCCTGGCATTTTCTGCTTCAGCCCCAAGGGCTGCGGGACTCTGGAGCTGGCAGCCAACAGGGGCCCCAGAGGTCTCAGCTGCTGCAGGTGGCAGGGCTGCCCGTAGCTCCCAGTTTCTGTGGGTGGTCCTGCATCTACCAGCCGCTGGGCCCCGCAGCTCCAAGCCATAGCGGGTGGCGGGGTGACCACCCCAGCTCCGAGTCGTGATGGGGGGATCCTGGAGCCACAGCAGCACAGGGTGCTGGACCCCCCCTTCCCATTTTATCGGTTATTTTTAGTAAAAGGTCAGGTGTACTACCGGACAGGTCACGGGCTTCCGTGAATTTTTGTTTATTGCCCGTAACCTGTCCGTGACTTTTACTAAAAATAACTGACAAAACCTTATCCTTATTTATAATTATATCTATTTTTTTCCTGCAAAGTCACCAGTGTTTTGAGACTGCTATATATTACAATCAGTTTCAAAGCTAGTGTCTGATTCTCATTAACACTAAGGTTCCAGATATTTATGCCCATTTTAATACCCTTTACAGTGCCAGAGTGATATAGGGTTTTAGCATTAATGAGAGTCAGACCCATAGAATAGATCTTTCAACGTCTCACTCACTAGGTTGCAAGACTCTGTATACAGCTCAGATCAGTGATTTATTTAAATTAGATGAAAAACTAGTGCTGCATATAAACACAAAAGCTTTGTTACGGTGAAGTTATAGTTGCAGCCACCTAGTATTTTGAGTATATAGCATCTTTTGAGAACGTAGTAGTTAATACAAATGTTAGGAACCCCGGAAATGCAGCAGATGTAACAGGGCCATCCACCAATGAGAATGAAAGAAGGATTTATACAAAAGACATCCTGATTGTATGAAAAGTCCTTCACTGAAACTAATCTCAAGTTAAAGCTAGGCCCAAACAACTACCATGAGCCCACACCAAAGAACTAGTTTTATCCTTCTGCCCATGTGGCACTGGTAGAGAACTGAGCAGTCCGTTGCCTCACTGGAGTATGTCTTATTATGTATTCTTTAGCAATTCTGCATGTGGTTTAGATTCAGAAGAGGTAGCAGTACTTGAACTGAACAATCAGAACTAAAAAAGATGGAGATATTCAGGGCCGGCTCTAGCGTTTTTGCCGCCCCAAGCAGCAAAAAAACAAACAAACAAACAAAATGCTTCATTCTACAGCGGCAATTTGGCAGCAGGTCCTTGCTACACTCGTGCCTGGAGCCGGCCCTGGAGATATTATGACCCCTAGAGCATCCCAGTACCAGAGGCCAAGAGGCTCACTGGTATCTGATAATGAGTTTCAGCTGGCCTGACCAATTCAGTGTACTCCAATTCACAGGGGTTATGATCTGTATATAAAAGGTGTCATTCACTGTGTTTTTGGAAAATTATTAACTCACTTATCATTAATATTCCTGTGGGATGTATGTATGCAGTCTGTACTAAGAGCTGTGTATATACATTGGAATGACGACTAAAATGTGTTTAAGGCAGGCGTCTTGGGGAGTTGGTAAACAAGCCTGCCCTAGACAAAGGAATTTGTCTAGGGCACCAGCCCACTCATCAGGCAGTGACAATGAAGGTCAATTCACATAGAAGGTAAACAAAGGTATCAAGCTAACAAGTGGGAAAGATGACAGCTTCCAGCAGGAAAGAGAAACTTTATCTGGACTATAAAGAAGGGGATCTGAACCTCAAGTGGCAAGCAATTGAATCACCTGATTATATACACAATGTTACTGTATTTAAAAGTTTATACTGGTGATTAATATCATAGTAAAAGGTATGCATTAACACTATATAAGGAATTATGCATACTCATGGATATTAGGCTTCACAGTCTGTATCCAAACAAAGGAGAAACAAGTCTCTTCCAGACAGGAGGGAAATGTCACAGATGGAATGTTACCTGTCTACTATGTAAATTAAATATGGTGGAATCAAAACCGTGGAAACCCAATTTACATACAGAGGGATGGGAAGCCCACAGGAAGAGAAAAAAAGCATGAAGTCATCCTGCCTCTTGAAACAAGGCCATTAAACTTTGGAAGATATAAGCATGGGTGGCAGGTATAATAGGCTGGGGGAGGCTGTGCCTCTCCAAACACCCAGGCGTGGCTCCACCTACGCTCCACCCCCAGGCAGCCTCCTCCTGCTTCCCACTGTGTGGCTCTTCCCCTGCCTGTGCCATGGCCCTGGATTGGGGTGGGGCTGGTGCTGGGCTTGGTCCTGGGCCCACGGCGCACCGGGGTTTGGGGTTGTGCTGCCCATCTGGTGCTCCGGCGCTTGAGGGGGGCGCTTCAGGGCTGGGACCACGCCACCCGCCCACCCAGCGGTCTGGGGCTGGGGAGGCTGGGGCCACGCTGGGTGGTCCCAGCGCACCCAGCCCTGGAGTGCCCATCAATCACTTTGGAGCAGGTCCCTCGGCCTGCTCTGCATTTGCCCATGGTGTGAAAATGTCAAGTGGTTTTACAACCTCAGTTTCAAAAGTAGCCACTTATCTTGGGTGCCCAACTTGAGACATCTTGGGTCTGATTTTTATTGCTGCTAACCACCTGCAGCTCCCATTGAATGTAGTTGGATTTGTGGGTACCAGGGACCCTTGAATTGAAGCAGTGGGCATTCAGCACCTCTGGAAAACCATGTCCAAAGTGTTTCAAATTGAGCATTTGAAGGGTGAGTCACCCAAAATAAATGGCCATTTTTGAAACTGTGGCCCTCAACTGTGTGCATGGCAGACTGTGTACAATTCTAGGTTGTGTGTGTGAAACTATAGTGGGTAACGTTTTCCAATGCTATGCCATGAGGCTTTTGTACTGCAGTTCTGTGACAACGAAGGTTGGTGTGTCAAAAGCAGAGCTGGGCAGAAAATGGTAATTCTGTTTCCTGGAGGATTTTGAGATTTTGAAATCCAGGTTAAATACAATCACGATTCTCTTCCCAGCTCTACTGGAATCCTGGCTCTCAGGCAGCCAGCTGGTAGGCTGCCCTGGAGCCAGGGAGCCTGAAAGTCCAGGCTGCTCAGGAGCTGTGAGCCTAGAAGTTTGAGCTCTTAGGGCTTCCATACTCTTAGCTCCCCATCAGCCTGCCAGGCAAGCTGCCAAAAAGCCTGGAGCCTGGGCTGCCAAGGAGCTGGCTGGGGGACCTGGCAAGAAACCTGGCTGCTGTCCAGTGGAATTGTGTTGACATCAACGTAGTCACATGAAACGTTTTCATTTTGACCAAAAAAAGCGTTGTCAATTTTTTTTCAATCCAGCTCCAGCAAAACGGCTAATATGGAAAGTGCTGTAATGGGTCTCGTTACTTGCAAACGATAAGACAAGCAAGTAGAGTTCTGGCAAGAACCTTGCTTATAATGAAGACTCACAAGTCTTGAACTCGGGTCTGTCGGCAGCTTTCATGTCCTGGTTGCCGTCTGGTGGCTTGCTAATCACTAGTGGGCTGAGTGGTTAATGGAACCTTGGCCCCAGCAAAGGCACTGTCACAGAATCTTGACTGGAGGAGCGCCCAGTCCCACCTGTTATCTGACCATGCCTTGTAAGCTGGAAGGAGGCACAGGAAGTTGTCTGTGCAATTGGGCAGATACTGGCTGGCTGCTACCTTGGACCCTGCCTTCTTGCCTGACTCCTGAGCCCAGCTAGCCTGACTTGTCCCTAATTCCTGCTTTCTTGATACTTGACTCAACTCCTGACTTGACTCATGCTCTGACCCTTGAGTTGACTTCTGACTCTGACTCCTGCTCCGACCACTAGGGCTGACCACCCAAGCCCTGGTCGTGATGCTTACTGCTTTCCCTGAGAAATGATACCATAATTAAGCACCTTTTAATTTAATTTTAATATTTTTTACACCGGATAAAAGTCTGATTAATGATACTTCTTCATATTGGTCTCATAACCACGGCTGTCTGTGCTTGCTTTGACGGAAATCAGAGTATGGTGACATCCAAGATAGGCATTTCAATGTCTGAAATGCTCCTTAAATAGAACAAACAGATCAGCATGACTTAGTGATAAAATTACCTTCTGGTTTACAGGCTCTCCAGCATGCGACTGCACTATAGGGAACTCAGCACACCCCTCTGTGCATAATATAAACAAACACAGTTAAGAATAGACCCAGGTGAGACATATACAAAAGGAGAGAGCATGGAAGAAAGGATTACTCGGGCTGCGACTGCCAAGTTAATGAAAAAAGCTTTTCTTGAAGCTCTAAAATCAAATGACTACAAAACGCTGGAAGATATTTTGATACAAAAGCAAATAGACGTGGACACAGTGTTTGAAGTGGAAGATGAGAACCTGATTTTGGCATCATACAAACAAGGTAAAAGCAGCAGCAGCTGCTGCTGCATTTGCAAAACCTAAGCAAACCGGTCTTAGTAACTTACTTTTGCAGAAACAATTGTCGTGTTTTATCCCTTCAAAATGATACTGCTTACATTGATTCATGAGCTATGACCTACATAACCAGTCAAAGGTCTCTCGGCCTTATGCTTCTTAGAGTAGCCCCTGATGATCCCAAATATATTTATATGGAGATTAAAAACTAATGGGTTAATACTGCTCCCTCCTCTGTGGCCATGTAAGTCACCAAGACATGGTGTGCTACCACTGCAGTATGCCTCCTATTTCAGGGGCTCCTTACATCTTATCTGGTGGTTTAGGTTGAGGGAAAGCCCACCACCATCCTCAGACCTGTAGGTTCGCGAAAGCCTGGAGAAAGGATTCCTTTGCTCTTCCCCCCGCAGAGCACCCTAGAGCACAGCCAGAATATGTAAATATATTGGTATATATAAATTCCCTGTACATACCCAATCAATCCACATGAACAAGCCCACCCAGAAACCTATGTTGTTTCAAGCTTCCCATTTTCAGCTTCTAGTAAAAATAGAGTATATTCCCCTTAGTTCAATCCCCAGGAAATGCCCTAGGTCTTGAATGTTATTTGATGGGAGATGTTTTCTTTTTCAAAATCATAGAATTGAGATGCCATAGTCTATTGTTAAATCAGAACAAGTAATCCATTGCCACCCTGGGAAAACAGTCAAAACAAACACTTCAGCCACAGAATCCTCTTCGCGGGCTGGAAAAAAATAAAAAAGCTCATAGCTAGGTACTGACCAATTTCCAACACATTTATATCTTAAAGCAATAAAGCAGGTTTTATGCTCAGCTAGCATCAAAGCATCCCAATATTTACTTTCTGCAAGATTTTCTCACATGAATCTAAGAAGCAAATCAGCTGCCTTTTTCAGGTATTAAGCACACATGGAAATAAACACCTTCAGTTCAATCTCTCAGCTAGTACAACAAATAACCTTTTTTTGTCCATGTTTGAAGGGCTAATAATTTCACCTTTGCTTATTTCCTGTGTGTTCGATACATGGTTTTTGCTTCTCTGGTTTCAAAGAGACAATGGTGATGCACAATCAATATTTGTTTTACTTGGATGGGATCTGAACAATCTCACACAATGATGAATATAACTCCTTAAAATATTGTCTCTTGTATTGCTCTCAGACTAAAGAAAGTTCATGTGTTCCTACAAATTTAACCCATCTTATTTAAAATGTGCAAATTGAATGAAGACGGCCATAGATCTATCCCCTTTGGAGGGGTCTTTCCTCCCTCATGAGGCACATGCACCTGTCTCCCCAAATCACAACAATGCTATTATTCTCTTTGTTGCTTGAGGGCATTCCACTGACTCTAGGGGAAATCCTGTCTTTGTTGAACAGCCTGAATAACTAGGCTTTGATAAAGGGAGATCCAAGAGGGCAGAAAGAAACCATCCTCATGAAAGCCCTGATCCTACATCATTCAACTCAATGGGAGCTTTGCCAGGAGCTTTGTAGGATCAGAATAGGATGATACTATATCCCCATGGCTGTTCTGTTTCTTCCCTTGAGGAGAATGGCTGGTGGATTCAGGTAGGACTAGTCTTCTCTGCCCAAACTATTTCACTTTCCTGTTCCTGGACTGCTCCTGGAAATAGCCCGTGCCCTGGGGCACAAGAAGCCTCTATGAAGCAAAACTATAAAAATGGTATAGTGGTGTTTAATGCTTGCTCTTGTGTATTTAGCAAGAGCTTCCATATCAAATTTGTACCATTTGTAGTTTACAAAGAAGAATTTTCGAGCTACCAACTCACAGGCTCAGCTTGGTAACTGAAAAATCAAAGCCGGGCTTTTTCTGTATGCCATAGCTCATTGGCAACAAGTCTGGAATCTGAATCTAGCTGGCCAACTTTGTAGTCGATGTATGAGTCAGGCAACTTGCTCTTCTGCATCTATATAGGCTGTGCCATACTGGTAGTAATAAAAGCTTGTATTTCTCCACAAAATAAATTGCTACATCTTGGAAGCAGATAGCCATAGTATTAGAATGCTGCATTCACAGCTACTTTTATGACTAACATTTAAATGAAAATCAAGCATTTTATAGAGTTTTTTTAAAAACTACATTACCAAACAAAGCATATGATAGATATGTACTTGCCAATTTAATTATGAGGAGAGTGAATTACACCCACTGGAAGAGGAAAACAAAACATTACAAGAACAAGTTATATACTACCTGTTCCTATTTTTTCTCTCTAAAATAGTATATACGTCTAATGCAACTATGTTAATGTTACATTAGGGATGAACATTTAATGTCATGTATGCTAGGAAGTGCAGAAATTAAGTTTCCAATTACCTTGATCCCAATGTACGTTCTGAATATTTTTGGGGTATGCATTTTATGCCAATGCAGTATTAAGCCTATGGATTTATCCACCATGCGGGGAGGAGAATGGCCGGGGTATGTGTGTTATGGGAGGGGGAAAGCCAGAAATAGAAAATTGTATATATGTTCAATGCAGTTCAATCTTACATATCGCATTTCCTGAATTTTAACTGAAACTTATCTTTGTCTCAATGTACATTTTTGTACTTAGAACGGGTATTGGTTAGAGAACAGGACACAAAGTTTGTAACTCTGCTGCTCCTGCTCCAGATTATTTTCTTTTACTTTTATATAGCTTATTAAAATCACCACTTCTGAGACTATGTGCAATCATCAAGAACCAGGCATGTTTTGGGTACAATAGGGGGATGCTGGTGGGGAACACACTAAGTTCACTACAGACGCTGTGCCGTGTGGAGAAGATAAAATAGTTGTGCACGTTTCTAAGTTCTGCTTTTTTAATGTGGGTGCTGTCGTGTCCTGCTTAGTGCTGGCCAGTAGGTTTGGCCTAATTAGGGTGACCAGATATCAAGAGTGAAAAATCAGGACAGGGGTGTGGAGTAAGAGGGGACAATATAAAAAAAAGCCCCAAATGTCAGGACTGTCCCTATAAAATCGGGACATCTGGTCACCCTTGTGCAGACTGGCAAAAATGACACAATATTCGATCTAGCGCCATTCTAATTTTGGTGGCTTGATGATCGCTGCGATTAGGAGAATCCACCTCAGAACAGTAGTGATGACTGGTGATCAGGCCACTGTGTGCAAGAGCAGCACCTTCTGGTCAGAGAGAAACTGGGAGAGTGAGACGGGAATCAGGAGCAGCAGCAGCCACCACCCTGCTCCTTCACCCTCCAGGCCCAGAAGGAAAATGTCAGCGATGGCCATGATGCTGTTTTCAAGTGTAATTGGTTCTGTAATGTGAGCCTGTGTTTCAAAGAAAAAAATACCACTGTTGCAAGATATTGCTACAGGGTAAAATGTCGAGGGAAGAGGGGGTATCAGCAAAATTGCCAGAAAGAACAGTGAACATTTTTGGAACCAAATTTCATGCAAAAATGTCATTGCCATCACACGGACCTACACCTGCGAAGGGTAGCAGGTGACAGTAAGTCTGTAATACTGCTGTAGCTACGTTGCAAGGGGGCAACCATGCAACATGCATCATGAGTCCTTCCACAGGAAGGCAGACCCCAGATCCTGATGTGAAATCCTGAGTTCTCCTACCCAAGGAACAACATGATGTGCTACCTGTTGAGTCAGAGGTCTAACTTGAGTAGAGTACTGCATTAGAACCTAGGGGTGCGATACTCAGCTCTCATAAGACATGCTCATGATAGTGTAGTGTGCTAAAAATGGTAGTGTAGTCACAGTAGCATGGGCTAGCCAACCTGAGTACAAACCCACCAGAACCCCCCCGAATAGGTACTTGCCGGTGCTGCCTCTTGCTGATTCCCATACTACCCCAGCTACACTACTATTTTTAAAAAGCAACAGAGAGTCCTGTGGCACCTTTAAGACTAACAGAAGTATTGGGAGCATAAGCTTTCATGGGTAAGAACCTCACTTCTTCAGATGCAAGTCTTGAAGAAGTGAGGTTCTTACCCACAAAAGCTTATGCTCCCAATACTTCTGTTAGTCTTAAAGGTGCCACAGGACTCTCTGTTGCTTTTTACAGATTCAGACTAACACGGCTACCCCTCTGATACTACTATTTTTAGCTCACTAGCTCAAGGAGAGCTAGTGCATGTCCAACATGAGCAGGGAAGCACACCACCAACTCCTAGTGTAGACGTAGCCTGAGTGCAGCTTTTTATTCAAATGTAGCATTTGCTCAGGTCTTACCAGATCAAAGATCCTATTTTCTTTTTATTCAGTCTTGGAGGTTGCAGGAATTCAAAACTACCCTTTGAGTTCAGTTACATGGCAATTCATCTGTTCAAAAATCAATCCATTCAGCCTGCATGCTGGCAGTGCTTAATGAAAGTAAGGTTATTACTCCAGAGCACTTTGCATACACTAGACCCTAACTGATTAAATTACATTAAGATAAATTAAAGCTGAACTCCAACACCCTTCCACCCTCCTCCAATTAGTCTAATTTAAAGGCTCATCTGGAAGATTCTTATTCAAGGCTGGTAATGCATCTTCAATTTTACAGGATATTGGCTGCCTAGTTATAAGTTAAAATCATCTTGGGCCACTGGACTGCACATATCAGCCCTGTATGGATACCTGGAGAGCCTCATGGTACTGTTAAATCACAAAGCAGCCATCAACTACAAGCCAAATGGGAAAGCTGCTATCCACGTGGCATGTGACGTGGCAAACGTCGAGTGTCTCACGATCCTTTGCAACCATGGAGCGAACGTTAACTGCTTTTCAATGAGCGGCCACGCACCCTTACACTTCTGTACAACAAAGGCCTCTGTGCCTTGTGCCCAGCAGCTCATTTGGAGAGGTAAGTCAGACTATAACTTAGGCAGACAAGTACCTCTGAGGTTTAGCAGGAGTTTAAGGGTCTGTATTATTCTGTTAAGAAGCAAATAATCCTATTTCATGCTTTTATAGCCCCCTAGTGCTTCACAAACAATGCGTATAGAGCCCCACTGAAACACAGCCAACTAGGAGGAGGGCAGCAGCCCAGCTGCAGTTTGGAGAGCAGGAAATTTCAATCCAGGGCAAACCCTTCCTCATGCCAAAAGTGGTCTTTAATGTCCACACAGAGTAGGCAAGGCCTCAGCTGTAAAAATAAATGCACACAGTCATAATGTGCACTGGCGTTTGTATCTTTGATAGATAAACCGAGAGTGTTTTTCATATGAGTTCAGCCCCCCCGCAAAAGCCTACAGCTTTGTCTTTGTCCTGAAGTTACAAGAAGTGTGTGCGTGTAGGTGGGGGGTAATTCCCATTGACTTCAATGGAAGCAGGATAAGCTCTTAAAATAACTGCAAAGGAAGAAAATAAAATCAATATTACTTACAACTCCCCACCCCAAGCTATCTTCAAAGAACATTATTAAGTTGCTAAGTCAAATACTCAAAAATTAGGAAATACCAGAATTAATGTTGCCTGTGCAAGCCTAGTCTGGTCCCTTTGTCCATATACATTAGGATACAGTCTATAATTACATGATCACAGGACTTCTGCCTCCTTAAGCACCGAATGGATAGTACTCGTGAACGAATGAACCAACCGATTATTCAGTAGCTTGTTTTATCCTTGTTAATTGTGTGGCCCCTGGCTTTATTTACTGCAGACTCTGGGTCTGGGTCCAGGCTCTGAAGACAATTATTGCTTTCTGTCATGGGGTCTCTCACCACACTGGTGCCTCCTGCTGGCCATTTCGGTAATTAGCTCTGGTCAGCAAGTGTGCCCTCCAGTGGTGGTGGCTCTCCCATTCTCATCTCTGCCTGCAGACCCACTATAGTTCCAGTCTCACTGCCTCTGCTTCGTGGCACAGCCCTCCGGCCATGTCACACTCCAGGTTCCCCCCTTCTGGGGAGAGTGAAGAGACTTGTTTCGCAACAGTCTAGCCGCTTCTCACAGCAGCTCAGCAATCGATAGCCTGGCTGCTTCTTCAGTGGCCAGTGGGGGGACCCAGGCCCACCCACTACTCTGGGTCCCAGCCCAGGGACGCTGTAAACAACAGCTTTCCACTACCCCTCCTTTCTTTCTCCACCAGTCTGTCTCAATTCCCTGGGCCTCTTCCCAGGGCCTCAGGCCTGCAAGCCCTAGCAGCCCTATTCACAGAGCCAGTCAGCCAGCCCCCTCCCTAGGGCTTCCAGCAGCAGACTCCCTTGGTCTGAGCTGCAGCTTCCTTTTATATAGGCCAGCTGGGCCCTGATTGGTTGGGCCAGCAGCTGCCCTAATTGGCTGCAGACCAGGGCCGGCTCCAGGGTTTTGGCCGCCCCAAGCAGCCAAACAAAATCTGCGGCGGCAATTCGGCGGGAGGTCCTTCGCTGCAAGCAGGAGTGAGGGACCGTCCGCCGAATTGCCACCGAACAGCTGGACGTGCCGCCCCTCTCCAAAGTGGCCGCCCCAAGCACCTGCTTGGTAAGCTGGTGCCTGGAGCCGGCCCTGCTGCAGCCACTGCCCTAATTGGCTGTTTTCTTGCAGCCCTCCAGGCTGGGTTTTAACCCTATCAGGGCCAGTGCAGGGCAGATGCCCCATCACACTTTTCTTCTGGGCTTTTCTATGGCACTCATCAGTATAGTATCTGAGCACTTCACAAACACTAATGAATTTATTTTCACAATACCTCTGTGAGATGAGCTGGTTTCATTATCCCCATTTTACAGATGGAGAATAGAGGGGCAGAGAGGCTAAGGTCAAAAGTGTCCACTAATTTTGGCCAATTTGAGACTGATTTTTCAGAGTATTTAGCACTGTATAGCACTATGTTCAAACCACAGCTCCCATTGACTTCAATTGCAGCTGTGATTACTCAGCATTTCTGAAAATCAGACCCTAGGGTATCAAGTCAGGCATCTTGAAAATGAGGGACACCCAATTTGTGACTGTGTATGAGAAGTTTGATGCAAGTGATTTCCCTTGTATCACATAGGAACCCTGTGACAGAGGCAGGGATAAAATCCAGTTCTCCAAAGCAGTATTCAACTGCCTTAACCATGAAACCATGCTTTGTCTTCCTGCAGTCCCTTGCATGCCTTCTGTCATGTCCAGCTCATGGGTGACCAGACCTACTAGTTGGAGCCAGAATCTGCAGTCACGAGACAGGACTCCTGGGTTGGGATACCAGGAGGTCAGAAGCAGGAGACAAACTGGAGATCAGAACCACAAGTTGGGAACCAAAGTCTAGGTAGGGACAGGCTACCAGCGGGTCAGAGGCAGGAGACAAACTGAAGGTCAGCAACCACAGGTCAAGTTGGGTTGGAATGCTAGGAAATTGAGCCGGGGAGTGGGTAGTACAAGCCACACAGCCCAGAGCAGGGTGAAACCTAATTGTTCAGACGGCTTCCTGTTCCTGATGCTGGCTAATCAGCTGCTTTGAGACTCTGCCAATTGCACCTCAGGATGGGCACTCACACTGGGGCTGGGCTTTATGGGTCTCAGGTAGGCTATTGCTAATAGGCTGCTAGGTGGAGGATTGGTGCAGGGCTATACCCATGAACCTTGCAGGCTTGGGTTTAAGACTCCTGAATGATGGTATTTTCTGCAACAAACAAAGTAAGGATACTGCTAATAATACTTTCTTCATTTCCCACCTCTGATACATCCTCTAGAGTAGGCCCATCCTGTGCACTAAATGAAGCAGGGGTCCCATTCATAAAAAACAAAAAGTAATAATGCAATTAAAGTCTGTATTGTAATGCATATGCACAGACAACCTGAATTCTGCCATTACTTAACTTTTGAGTGTTTGACTTTGCAACCGTAATAATGTTTTTAATGTTGCTTTTTGTGTGTAATTTCCTAGGTTTTTTAAAAAAGCAACTGGAAAAACAAATATGCCATCATAATGACACCCACATGGGTCACCAGCAGGGTTGAAACCTTTAGATGCGTTACATAGAACTCTGCCACTTGAGTTAACAGAGTAATTGATAGCAGTAGTAGGTTGTTATCCTCCTTGTGGACCAGCACTAGCAGGGAATGAGACACTTTGCCAGAGGGTTTCACAGATATTTGCTGACAGCAGAGAAATAGTAAGATTTCAGAGATCTTGGGTTCCATTCCAGTTCCTGGAGGGTATTGTGCTCTACTGGGCACAGACTATTATGCCCATCCCCACAAACATGGCCCTTTCTGCCCCTTCCTCTCCAATCTATTCCTATTCCAGTCCTGTCTCATCCCCATGCCTGGCTTCTCATCCCACTCCCATTCTCCTCACTTAGCCATTCCCAATCTCTACTCCTCAGGCTTCTCATCCTAGTTCCTGTCTCCTTGCCCAGTAAATCCCCTCTCGTCCCCAGGACTTCCCATCCCAATCTCACCCCTCCCCACCCAGTCTGGGTAACCTTAGTAACCACTCCCAGTTGCTCCCCATCTGTCATCTCCTTGCACCCAGTTTCTCTCCACCCCACAGCCTCCAGTATCCCTCCCTAGGCTCCTCATCCAATCTCAATTCCCTCCAGTGACTCCTTGTCCCCTTCTCTTTGCAGAGCAGTCCCATTTCTCTCGTCACACTGCTTCCTCATCACATTTCCCCCACTTCCTTCCCACTGCCCTACTCATTCATAATCCCAGTCTCCTTGCCCAGCCAGTCCCAGTATGCTCTCTTCCTCCTCATCCACTCTCAATCTCTTTCACAGCCAGGGTTTCCCTGTTCTCTTCTGTTGTCTCCCTGACCAACCAGTCCTTGGGAAATTTCAGCCCAAATGCTTAAAGCATGGCTTAAAGCATGGCAACTGAAAACAGGGTCTTATAATGGAAAGAGCTGGGTAATCTCATTACTAGGCAATGCTATCAGTCCCACCTATTGTCAGAATCATGGCAAATGCAAGTGCTTTGGTTTCATTTGCTACATATGTCATTACTGCAGACCTTTCCTTAGCCTGAGTTCTCAGAGCCAGCATATGCCTTGTGAGCAAAGCAATCTAAGATCCCAAATAAATTACCACACTACTTTCCTTCGGCCAGAAGATACCTGTTATTTTGTTTAGTAGAAAAGAAAATTAACGCCATCAATTTTATTCTGCCTGAAGCAAATAATCCTGACAGCAGAAGTTAGTTTCGCTACCATAGGAAAGCATAAAAAGTCAAATGTGCTCTTGCAAATGCAGTGTAAGATGCATCTAAATGAAAGTATGTATTCTAAAGCCTTCCTCCTCCCACTTATCACTAACATAATAATACCTTGCAATTACAGAGCCTCCTTTCATCCAAAAGCACTTTACAAACTTAAACTCCTATGCAAACTCAATATCGGGACTCCACACAAAATGGAACCACCTCTGGGGTGAAACATGGCAGCTGATTAATAGAACAGCAACAACCCAAGCTCGGTGAGACTAAAACTGAGCTCTTCATCTTTCTCTGTTTCCCCCTTTTCTGTTAATGTTAGCAAACCTCCTGTCCCTCAGCCTGATGAGCCAGACCTAATTTTTCATACTGCTTTCTCCTCACCCTTCTTGATGCTGGCACAAAATCAGGAATCAACCCACTGTAGACATAGCTATGTAGGGGCTTCTATAGGACTGAATCATAGAATCATAGAATCATAGAATATCAGAGTTGGAAGGGACCTCAAGAGGTCATCTAGTCCAACCCCCTGCTCAAAGCAGGACCAATTCCCAGCTAAATCATCCCAGCCAGGGCTTTGTCAAGCCGGGCCTTAAAAACCTCCAAGGAAGGAGACTCCACCACCTCCCTAGGTAACGCATTCCAGTGTTTCACCACCCTCCTAGT